TCAAGTGCTCAGTAGCCACACGTGGCTGATCACTTCCATATTGGACAACAGCTCTTTTTTTAAAGAACAAGAGACTTAGGTAATCGCCAAATTAATGAACAAGAATAAGCTTAACTTATAGCTTTGATTTCCCAACTCTGAATCTTTTCACATTAAAATACCAAGTTGTGCAAATCCTTAAGGAAGAACAACTTGCTTTATGAACTAATGGAAACCGTAATAGTAGGCTATTGCACAAGCTATAACATGAAGTTATTAAGAATTTAATCTCCTACCACTCCTTGGCAGTTTCTGAGTACTAGACCTCTTTTAGGCATTAGAATGTTTTTTCCTTTTTGTTCGCCAATATTTACTCTTCCGCCAAAACAAATAAACAAACAAAACCAGAACAACTCAAATTATGGTAACTAACAAATCAAAGCATTGCATAATCTTTAAAGGCTTACTAAGCATTATAAAATTTACCCAGCTATAGAAATGACTGAGAAGTGGAGTGAACTAAGGGCACATTTAAACACAATATATTTAGTAATGACACAGGCAGGTATGTAAAGCTTGCTGGAGTTCCAATGATAATGTTTTACTAATTTACAGATTTACCAATAACCTTAATTTATACACTTAACCCATTCTAGTCAAATACAGTACCTTTCAGAAATATTTTCATATTACAGTTTATAAACCAGCTAGAATATAAGAGCTCCTTACCTTTAATCCCAAAGTCTTAACTTTTCTTGCTGAAGCAGGCAAGGTAGTATCTTTGTCAACATTAAGATTTTGTTGAGATTCTGCTATAAAACAAATTGTACAGATCATGGTTTGTGCTTACATATTTGAACCACAGACAAAACACAATTCCCAAATTTTTATAGCAATATACAGTTATTCTTTTCTTGATTGTACATTTTCAAATAATTAGTTGCACAATATTTTTTACACATCTCTTTCCTAATTTTCCTAATATTCTTTCTAATATTCTCCAACAGAGAGTTAAAGTAACTGAAAAGGAAAACTACATATCTATGGCATCTTGCTTAATTTTCCTGGTTATACAACAGTGTAATGATGAAAGTGTTATTCTGAAGTTGACCCTTTTGTAAATCTATCAATTAAGAAAAATTAAATATAGGTGTAGCTTCACATTTTTAGAAATACTACAGCATCTTTAAATTTAAATACTGTTTTCTTAACTTCAAAATTTACAAGATCATATAACCATTATTTTATTTTGGGATCAATTACCTTTTTGTTTTTTAAACCTTTGTGACTTCCGAAAGGATACTGGTCCTTTTAATACTTCTGAAGTTTTAACATCATAAGCACCTGGAGATGGTGCACATCCTAGAGGAAACATAAAATATTAAAATCTCATCTAATGTGACTTATGATCTTAAGTTAAAAACATGTCTTACAAATATTATATGATATTTATATGTGGAATCCAAAAATTAATACAAATGAATCTATATGCAAAGCAGACACAGACTCACAGACATGGGAAACAAACTTATGGATACCAAAAGGGAGCAAGGGGGGAGGGACAAATTAAGTGTATGGGATTAACACATACAAACTACTACACATAAAACAGATAAGCAACAAGGATCTCCTGTGTAGCACAGGGAATTATATTCAATGTCTTATAATAACCTATAATAGAAAATAATCTGAAAAAAATATAATTGAATCATTTTGCTGTACACCTGAAACTAACACAATATTTTAAATCAATTATACTTCAGTTAAAAAGAAGTCATAGTAAAGTAATATAAATGTAAAAATACTATTAATAAATTGCTTCTTTTTCTAATTAAAAAAAATGATATAAATGAACTTATTTACAAAACAGAAACAGACTCACAGATTTCGAAAACAAAGTTATGGTTACCAAAAGGGAAACATGGGGAGGAGGGATAAATTAGGAGCTTGGGATTAACATATACACACATACATATCTATATAAAATAGATAACCAACAAGACCTACTGTATAGCACATGGAACTCTGCTCAATATTCTGTAATAACCTATATGGGAAAGGAATCTAAAAAAGAATGAATATATGTGTATGTATAACTGAATCACTATGCTGTACACCTGAAACTAACACAACATTGTAAATCAACTATGCTCCAATAAAATTTTTAAAAAAGTTTCCTTTATTTTCAAATGTAAAAATGGCACCCATTTGGTATTAGGCTTCTCTGTGAAGAATAATAAATATCATTATCTTCCCAAATGACCTTTACTTCAATTGGGTCAAAGGAACACAGACAACCGTGCAAAACAACAGACAGTTTTGGGATGAAAATTGTGTCAGAACAAGCAATACAGCTTTGTTATTAAGGATTGAATATAAGAAATAAAATATTTGGAATCAACTCTACTCAGAGAGATTCACTGAGGTAACCATCAGCAGATTTTAGAAATGAAGCTACTAAAAATGTCTAGCCCTCAAGATTTAGCTTGGAATAAAAATTTAGTGACGATCCATCTCTGTCTAGTATCAATACACCAGAAAATTTATAAAGCCATGTTATGCAAAGTACAAACTACTACGCTAGACTATATTTCTATGTTTCAGCAATTTATACTGTATAACCTCATGTAACTGGAGTCCCAAATCGAAGGCATTTCAGAGGGCTTATGCAAAGCTGACTTGAGATCCGGCTCTTACTTACTTTAGATCTCAGCCTGGAGGTCACCTCTTCCAGTTTTCTCCAAATCCCCAAATCAAGCTAGAAACCTCCATTCCACAGCAGCCTACGCATATTGTTACTATCACAGAACTTCTTGCAGTTTTGTAATGGGTTATAATAAGGTACTTATCCATCTCCCACCTTAGACAAAACTGCTTGAAGTTAGGGACAGTCTCAATCATGTCCCTTTCCTCAGTATTTAGCTCAGGATTGAGTTTGGCAGTGTGGCAAAGAAAACAGAAAGTTACTTGGGATGTGGGATTGGGAATAGAGTTTTGTATAGTAATCAGCTAGATCGATGTTCAAATCCAGCTTTGCCTGCCAATCAATAGATAATACTATATGCCAGGTACTTTGCAGTCATAGGGAGAAGATGATAAATAAGAACATTATACTCTCTCCTTTTCCAGTCTAGCTTTAAGACCCCTGGAAAGTTATTTCTATTTGAGACTGATTCTTCATTCACAAAACAGTATCTACCTCATACTTTTGTTGTTAGGATTTCTGGAGTAATACGAGAAATCACTACAGTGACACACACACACACACACACACACACAGCATCAAATAGATGGTAACTTATTACTCTTGAAACTGTGAGCCTGAAATTTTGTGTAATTGGCAAAAGCAGTTTAATCTATTATAAAGCAAGCAAACAAACAAATCTCCTTAAAAGACACACTGCTGACAGAACTTAGAGTAGGTTCTTTGAATGTCTGGAAAATTATATGGTTCTTGAGTCTTCTAATTAAAAAATATGCTTGTGCTGATCCATTTGCTCCCTTGGCCTTCCTTTGTGAGCAGAGGTCTTTTCCATTTGCATTTTAGCTAATAGAAATTAAGGTGTAATGAGTGACTGTTAAAAGTGTACATTATAAAGGATAAATCATGAGCTTTGATATTAAGCTCTGTCACTTACAGGCTGCTCAGTAGAGTTACAAAACCCCTTAGTGTCCTTAGCTGTAAAATGAGGACAATATCAGTACCTGCCTCACCTGGCTGTTGGCAAGAATAAACCAGATCTAGTAGGGAAGACCTTAGCATAGTCCCTGCATCCAGTTAGTAGCCACTAAATGATGAATGCCTTACCAACCACATGGAAGGCTTCATGGTTATTGTGCTTTTGCATCGCAGTGGTTAGGAGCACAGGATGGGTTCGTGGAGGCCTGGTTTCAAGCCCCAGTTCTGACAGTTTGGATTGTGTAACATTTAGCAAATAGTCTCCATCTCTTTATCAATAAAATAATGAACAATAGGGGTTTGGGGGAATTAAAATAGAATAATCTATGTAAAGACTTAGTGTGGTGCCTGGGGTACTGTCAAAATTAGCTCCCATTACTTCATCTATAGTGTTTTCACTAAGTGCTACTGCCATAATTTTACACCCATAAACTGCCTTTACCAACCTTCCTTCTTTTACGCCTGAATGGGATATCCAAAAGAAATCCACAAGTTCAAACCAAAAGCAATAGTAAATAAATAAATAAATATATATTTTTAACAGTGAGGCCTTCGGACTTGACCAACAAACAGCTATCAATGCTTCCTAATTCCTATTCCCTTCCCTCTGCTTTAGTTTCTCCACAGCACTGTTTATTGGCTGCATTCTCCAATTGAATGTAAGCTTCATGGAGCAGGGATTTTGCTTCGCTCGCTGTTGTAACCTTATCATTCTGAATAGTGCTTGGCACGTAGTAAAACCTTAGCATGTGTTTCAGGAAAATGAATCAATTAAGTGAGCCCCATCCCAGCCCTAAAAATCGCCTTCTATTTGCCTCTGATGAAGGGAATCAAGAGGGGCAAGGGGCGTGAGAGCATCTCCTGTCCCCCAGATCCTTTCCCCGTACGCACCAGAAGGGTCATTGAATCGTTTCAGGGGCGCCTTAGAAAAGGACATGCTGACGACCCGCTGCACAAAACCGAAGGTTTCTAGGGTGCTCCTCGGCAACTTCCTGCGGCTTGTTAGGCCCTATTCGCTTCAAATTCAAATCTCCCCGCTTATTCCCCGCCCACCCAACTTTAACCAATCGGAAAGCCAAGGCCTTGGACACACCAATCCAGGACGGGAACATCCATAGAGCATGCGTACTCGGTTCTAGCAGGGTCCAATTAGGTGATCTGTTTAGGCTACCATCCAATAGGAGACTATTACTGTCTCCTCTCGCCCCGCCCCCTCCCCACGGGCCCAACCCCTACTGGCGTTACTCAATTTTAACTAAGCACCAGCAGCATTTGCGCAAGCGCAGTTCACATCAAAGAATTTTCAGTCGCTTTTGACGTCATGTTGGTGGCAGTGTAATGAATTCTGACTTTACTGGTTCCAGCTGTCTCCCGTCGTTCCTTGGATGTAAACTTTTCCGGATTTCAGTTCGTTAAACCTGGGTCCTGCCAACGTCCTAAATGGCCCCTGAAAGGGAAAAACGAACACGAGCGGAGACTTCAGGTTACATTCCTGCGCATGTGTAGTGACCCGAGCGGAGAAGCCGGGGCGTGGCCCGAACGCGGATATTCCGTGCGTGCGCTCAGCTCTCTCGGTGCCACCGCGGCCGAGAGGCGACTGGAGTATGTCAGCCCCGTTTGAGGAGCGCAGTGGGGTGGTTCCGTGCGCAACACCGTGGGGCCAGTGGTACCAGACCTTGGAGGAGGTGTTCATTGAAGTTCAGGTGCCGCCAGGCACTCGCGCCCAGGATATTCAGTGCGGCCTGCAGAGCCGGCATGTGGCGCTGGCCGTGGGGGGCCGCGACATACTCAAGGTAGCGGCAGGTTGGGGCTTGTGCTCAGTTTCTTCCCGGCCCCCTCAAATCTCTGAGTGCTAGAGTTCATAGTTTCCTTGGAAAGACTGGTCTGCGGAGACCCCACCCTCAGGGCCAGTCCTGAGTTGAGGTGGGAATTTGAGTACGCCACTTTTCCTGGCTTTGTTTCTAAGACAAATGAAGCTGTTTTGTTCCTCCGCGGGTCTTCAGCTGAGAACCGCTTAACTAGATCGTTGAAGGAACAAATACTTATGGTACCTATACTTTCTTCTAGGCACTGATCTCGGTGCTAGTAGGACAGCGGTGAGCGAACCAGATAATGTTCCCGCACTCAAGGGAGGTTATGCTCTTGCAGGGAGTCATAATTAAACTAATAAATATTTAGGCAGTTATAGGAAAATAAAGATGAAAATAAAGGATAAAGACGTCAGGACGAGGATTCGAAGGTGATGTCAGGTGATTTATTTTCTCATCTGAAATTAGAAAAATTCTCGTTTGTGGAGTGGTTAAGCGGTGTCAAGAGGTTGTGAAGAAAATAATATCCCTTTTATTCTCATCAGTACCCTTTGGATCTGGTACCCATTTTTTCCTTGTTAAAATTTATAGTTAAATTCAGTTAAGTTGAAGTTAGATTTCTTTCGCAGATTAGATGCCCAAGATATTTGATGGCAGTGTTGTGTAATGGTCAAGGGATACTACTTGGTAAGATACCTGGCTTTGTCATTTTTCCAGTTTTGTAACCTTGGGCAAGAGATTATTCATTGTTTAAGCCTTCATCCGCAAAGTGGGGTAATTATAGTACCTTTCTCAGGATTGTTTTCAGCATAGCATGGTGAGTGAAGAGCTTGGAGTAAGTAGTGACTGGTATGTAATAAGCTCACACTACGTGTTAGTTATTATTATTTTATAGGAAAGTGTTTTGAGTGCCTCAGAGCAAAGGAAGATTCATGTGAAAGACATTGATTTATGTCAGCTTGGATCTTGATGACCTTTCTGAATAGTTGTGCAATTTTGTGGGGTTTACTGAACGGTGATTTAATAGTACACTTCAAATTTACTTTAGTAAATTCAGTTAATTTGCAGTAGCTTAGGGAATTTAGCAATAACTCTTAACTCTAGGATTTTAGACAAGTAGGATTTTTTTCCACTGGTATTGACATGAAAAGAATGTGTTTTCTTTTTTTAATGTGACATTTTAATTTCATTTCCTACAACAAATCAAAATGGATTTTAGCAGATGCATTCTCTTTTAAACTTATATTTTGCTTAGTTCTTTCTTAAAACGAGTTTCTGAAAAATCAGTGACAACTCATCTGACCTCAGATGTACAGTATGTGCTTTAAAATTTTTTTAATGCTACATTGCCCTACAAAGAGATTGAACCAGTTTTATTTTTTAATTTATTTTATTTTATTTTTCTTAACATCTTTATTGCAGTATAATTGCTTTACAATGGTGTGTTAGTTTCTGCTTTATAACAAAGTGAGTCAGCTACACATATACATATATCCTCATATCTCCTCCCTCTTGCGGCCCCGCCCCACCCTCCTTATCCCACCCCTCTAGGTGGTCACAAAGCACTGAGCTGATCTCCCTGTGCTGTGCGGCTGCTTCCCACTAGCTGTCTATTTTACATTTGGTAGTTTATATATGTCCATGCCACTCTCTCACTTCGTCCCAGCTTACCCTTCCCCCTCCCTGTGTCCTCAGGTCCATTCTCTATGTCTGTACCTTTATTCCTGTCCTGTCCCTAGGTTCCTCGGAACCATTTTTTTTTTTTTTTAAGATTCCATATATATGTGTTAGCATACGGTATTTGTTTTTCTTTTTCTGCCTTACTTCACTCTGTATGACAGACTCTAGGTCCATCCACTTCACTACAAGTAACTCAATTTTGTTTCTTTTTATGGCTGAGTAATATTCCATTGTGTATATGTGCCACACCTTCTTTATCCATTCGTCAACGGACACTTAGGTTGCTTCCATATCCTGGCTGTTGTAAATAGAGCTGCAGTGGACACTGTGGTACATGACTCTTTTTGAATTACAGTTTTCTCAGGGTATATGCCCAGTAGTGGGAATGCTGGGTTGTATGGTAGTTCTGTTTTTAGTTTTTTAAAAGTTTGTTTTAAAAGACATCATTTCTTCTTAATATCCACAGGAGAGCTCTTCTTGTAGTTTATTATAGTTGGTAAAGTTAAAGCATTTCAGATATTAACTTCACATTTGGCCAGTCAGTGATCAGTAGTATTTCTTCATCTGCTAAAAATTAAGGAGCCCTGGTCTTTCTGTAGAGAGCCCTGTGTTCTTTGTCATAGTATATATTCTGTAGTGTAAACTAGGTTCTGCTTCACTCGCTAGGAGGGAACTTAGGGTTGAGCACCTATCAGTGTGTTGAAATGGTATAAAATTTGATCTCCCTACTCTAAACAAATTAAGTAATTATATGTGGATTAGATGGGAAGTAAGGTAAGTCTTAAATCATGAAAACTTTATGAAAATTAATGGAATTTCTTTATTTTTAGTACTCATGTGTTTATTTTTCAGGGCAAACTCTTTGATTCTACAATAGCTGATGAGGGAACGTGGACTCTGGGTAAGGGTAATCTATTATATTTCTTAGAATCTTTTTAAAAATTAATTTTGTCTTGGAAATTAGTATGTTTCTCCCTGCTATAGATTTGCAGCTTTGGAAGATATAGTAAAAGAAATGTATTGAAAACAATTGTATGTCAAGATTCCGTAATGATTTTGAAAATACAAATTAATGATTAACTCTGATTTCTTTGTGATTTTTGTTTGTTTGTTTAGAGGATAGAAAAATGGTCCGTATTGTTCTTACAAAGACAAAGAGAGATGCGGCAAATTGTTGGACTTCTCTTCTAGAATCTGGATATGCAGCTGATCCTTGGGTGCAAGACCAAATGCAAAGAAAACTTACATTAGAGAGATTCCAGAAAGAAGTAAGTCAGTTGAATGTATGAATATGTATAGTTAAACATCTTAAACTCATAGAATAATTATTATTTGAAATTAAAACTCAAATGTGGTTTTAAAAAATTACTAAAATTCTTCAAAGAAATTTTTTAAGTTAAATGGTTAGAAAAATGACTGGCCTTTCTATATATGGATTTGCATGCCTCAACTAAGAAGTCCTCATGCCACAACTAAGAGCCTGCATGCCGCAACAAAGATGCCGAGTGCCGCAACTAAGACCCAGTGCAGCCAAAAAAAAAAAAAACAATGTCTTCAGTCTCTTTCCCTACTAGTACATACAGATAAAATTCATTACTTTTAACTGCTTTAGAGTGTTCCCTAGTTTGAGTGTATCGTTATTATTTAGCTGTTTCCTCTTTGGTGAGATTTAGATTTCTCTGTTTGTGTCTATTTCAAACAGTTTGTATTTTCATCTCTGAAAATATTCAAATTTTCCTTTAAGATATATATATGGGAGAATTATTACTGGATCAAACCACTGTTAAAGTTTTGATGGATAATTTCATCTATATGATAGTGATTCCCAAACGTATGTCTCTGGCCTGGACTTTTCTCCTGAATGTTGGACTTGCATATCCAGCTGCCTATTTAACATCTTCACTTTTCTGTCTAATAGACATGTCAAACTCAACATGTCCAATGTGAACTCCCTAATTTCCCTCCCGCATTTGTCCAACTATGGCCTTCTCATCTCACATGATGGAAACTGGTTCAGATCAAAAAAAATCTGGGGAATCATCCTCCATTCCTCTCTCTCTCACACCCTCTCCAATTGTCGGGAAACCTTACTGGAATGGCCTTCTAGATATATTCAGGATTTGACCACTCATCACCACCAACTCTACTACCACTCTCACCTGGACCACCTCTAACGTCTTGCCTGGGTTACTCTAATGACCTCTTAATTGTTCTCTTTACCTCTACCCTTGCCAAGCTACCATCTTCTGAAAATAGTTAGAGCAGTCCTTTTAAAATGCATGTCAGATTATATGACTTCTCAGAACTCTTTCACTCAAGTAGAAGACAAAGTCTTTTATAAGGCCCTAATTGGTCTGGTCCTCCATGGTGTCTCTGACCTCCTGTCCTACTACTGCCCCCCTCATTCATTCTGCTCTAGCCATACTGGCCTTTTTGCTTTTCATTAAACATGCCTGGCCTTTTGACTGCAGTGGTCTTCTCCCAAAGCTTAGCTAATTTCTTTACTGTTTTCAAGTCATTTCTCAATGAAGCATACTTTGATCATTCTATTTAAATACTCTAATCTCCTCATTTTCCTTACTTGCCTTACTTTTCTTCTTTTTTTTTTTCCTATACTATAGCACTTAGGAACTTTTAACACTAGATCATGGAGTTGGCAGACTATGGCCACTGGTCAGATCCAGCCCACTGTCTGTTTTTGAAGCAAAGTTTTACTGGAACACAGCTATGCTTATTTGTTTGTGTATTGTCTTTCATATAGTCACAGCAGAATTAAGTAGTTATGACAGAGACTATATGACCTTCAAAGCCTAAAGTATTTACTACCTGGCTCTTTACAGAAAAGCTTGCTGACCCCTGCTCTAGGTAATTTAGGATTTATTATTTGTCTCCTCCTGTTAGAATGTAATCTCCACCAGAACATGGATCTTTGTCTATTTTGTTCATTCTTAAATTCCACATGCCTCTCATGGTGTCTTCTAAACAGTAGGAACTCAATAGATGTTTGTTGAATAAATGAAATGCCTCTAAAAATACTGAAGGCTGAGGTAGTACTTACTTACTCCATAAGATTGTCATGAGGACTGAGTATTTTAAAATATATATAGCTCTTAGAACCCTGCCTGGCATGTAATAAGCTCTCAAAAAATGCTAGTTATTAAAAATCTGTTTATATACTGATGGTAAAGTATATGTTTGCCCATACACTTGTCAACATTGTAATATGCATATTGATCTTCTAAATATTTGTAAATATGAAAGTTGAGAAAGTACCTCATAGTTTTAGGTTCCACTTTGGTGATTACAGTGAGGTTTGATATCTTTTCACACGTTTATTGTCCATTTAGATTTCCTTTTTTGTCAATTGCTGGTTTATATCTTTTTACCATTTTCCTTTTGGGTTACTTATATTTTTCCTTATAAGTTTTATAATGTTTTTTTTTCGTATTTTTCAGAATCCTGGTTTTGACTTCAGTGGAGCAGAAATCTCAGGAAACTACACTAAAGGTGGACCAGATTTCTCAAATCTTGAGAAATAACTGCCATCTTCTTGCTGCATTTTGTGGATCCTAGCAGATTTGCCAACTTAATGAAACGAACAGATTATGTGGTGGAAGAAAAATGGGAATGTCTGCAGTTAACAAATTGCAAAATATATTTAAATATGGTTCTAAAAATTGCATTCAAATATGAGTTACATAGGAAACATCTTAAATACTGTAGGAACTATTCTGTTGATATACGGTAACTTTTTTTTTGGACTTGTTTTTGCTCAGCATGAAGTTTTATATGCTGCATTTTACTAATTTCATATTTAACCTGTATTTTTAATACAAAAATCTTTAGGGTATAGATCATGTGAAATGACAGGGTACCGTCAGGGAAAATTAAGTTTTTCTTTCAATAAGTGTGATGCAGGAATAATGTTCAATAAACTTTTCTAAATAGGAATTGTGTACCCCTTTGTCTAAGTGTACCAGTTCATACAAGGAAAATGTATTACTGGAAAAAACTTTTCAGAAAGGAGAAAACAATCCACAGATATATTCTAAGTTAATTTTAAGAGTTACTGAAAATTTCTGAATTCCTTGAGAGATGCCTTTAAGTCAAGAAATTGAAAAATAGTTAAAAACCTATCAATAAGAATAGATTAGTGCAAAAGAGAATTGGTGAAGTGAATATGGTTATTGGGTGAATCCTTTGTTAGTGACAAAAACAAATTATAGTCAATGGTTATAAGTCAGTTGATCTCCAGTGATCCAGACATATAGGTAAGAATTGTCTTGAAGTTTTACTTCATCCTTTTTATGTCCTTTCTAATTTTAAATATTTTAAAGAGTCTTAAATGTATTGAAAAGTTAAAGTAAAGAACACAGAATTGTTTTCTTCCTGACTCTTCAGGTTTGTGTGTAAGTTGATAACTTGATTCCCCATCACCTCTGAGTACCTAAGTGTGTATTTCCTTCGAAGGACATGCTGCTACATAGCTACAATACAATCATTAAAATCAGGAAAGTAGCATTGACACATTATGACCACCTAATCCTTGGACCTTCATTCCATTCAAGTTTACTTATTATCCCAGTAATGTTCTTTATAGCAAAGGGGTCCAGTCACAATCATGCCTTGCCTTTATTTTATTTTTTTTGCCGTGCCACATGGCTTGTGGGATCTTAGTTCCCTGACCAGGGATTGAACTTGGGCTGCCGTCAGTGAAAATGTGCTAGGTCCTAACCACTGGACTGCTAGGGAATTCCCCATGCCTTGCCTTTAATATCAGTGTCTTTAGTCTGCTTCAAACTGGAACAAGTCTTCATTTTAACCTTGACTCTTACAGCCTTGGCTCTTTTGAAGATTACAGGCTAGTTTTGTACACCTCTGTCATTGTGAATTTTGTTTGATATTTCTTCATGATTAGAATCAGGTTATGAATCTTTGACAGGACTGTTGCAGGAGTGATGCTGTGTTCTTTCTGTATCCTAAGTTATTGGTTTCAATTTGTCCTTTTTCTGATAGTGTTTACTGTTGGCCTGCCATATGTGTGGGTTTCAGATTCTCAGATTCAACCAACCAAGGATAGAAAATAGTAAAAAAAAAAAAAAAAAAAAATCCAGAAACTTCCAGAAAGCAAAACTTGAATTTGCCTTGCAACAGGCAACTAGTTACATGGCACTTATGTTGTTTACAACTATTTACATAGCATTTACATTGTATTAGGTATTATAAGTAATCTAGAGATGATTTAAAGTATTGTGGGATGGATGTGGGTAGGTTATATGCAAATACTGTGTCATACTATTGAGCATCTGGATTTTGGTGTCCGAGGGGGATGCTGGAACCAATACCCTGTGGATACTGAGGGACGACTGTACTTAGATCACTGATTAAGTGGTGTCTGTCAGTCTTCTCCACTATAAAGCTATTCTTTTCATGTTTTTTGTGTGATGTAGTTTCAAAAGTACCACCTTGTTTCTCATCAAACTTTAAATTTATCTGTATATACTCATGATTTCCACTTTATTCATTGGGTTAAAATCTATTATTCCCATTACTTTGATCCTCAAATTTTTTTCTGGATTCGGCCAGTGGAAGGTCATTGTAGGTGGCTTCTATGCCCTTTTGACATGTCCCCATCATTATTTGAGCAACTTCTTATTCTCTGGCATAAGATATACCAGACTTATTATTGCTTTCCCTACCCTAGCACAAGAATCAGCCATTTTTCCCAGGAGCCCTGGTTCTCTAGTGAAGAATGGTGTTTAAAAGCCAGGTTCTATGTGTTAGTGAGTAGTTGCTGTTGGTGTGTGTTTATTATGCATACATTTACATCTATATTTTTATATTTATGTATATATTGAAAACCATGAGTTCACACTTAAACTTTCATTTCTGATCCCATGGGGTTCAGTTTTGCTCTCTCCCTTTGTATAGAACTCCTTTCAACAGTGAGATACCTGATCCCTATTATCCTTAATATAGTTGGTTCATTATTCTAGGTCATCTTCCCATGCGAATACCTTTCTCACTGCTCAGGCTCCAAAACCCTATGCCAAGCAGAGATAACCCGCCGCACCTACTTGGATCCTAATGCCCCACTCTGGGCCGCTGCAGCCCAACCACACCCTTCGGCAAGATACCTATGATGTTCATTTTACCCAATAACTTTAGGAATGAGTTGTTGGAGAAGAGGCGTTTTTCCTTTAATTGGCTTATCTATGTGACATTAAAATTTTTTAATATTTTGAATAAACATAAAGTCAACTTTTTTAGTTTGTAGTTTTGTGAATTTTAACTTATGTAAAGATATGTGTAAACACCTCCAAAATCAGGAAATTGACCAGTTCAGTCAGCCCAAAAACTCCTTCATGCTTTCTCTTTATAGTTACACCCTACTCCTAGCCTCAAACCCTGGAGTCCACTGATTTAGTCTCTGCCTCAATATTTTTTTTTCAAGATCTTCATTTAAATAGAATCATATATAATCTTTTAAAAACATAGTGTTGAGATAATTCACATACCATACATTTTACTCATTTAAAGTGTATAATTCAGTGGTTTTTAGGATAGTCACATTAAGTTCAACCATCACCATCATCAACTTTAATTTTCATCACCTCAGAAAAAAAACCCCACCAAATCCATACTTTTTAACTATCACCCCACCCAACCACGCACAGACACCCAACCCCCTGAAGCAACCAATAATTTATGTTCCATCACGTAGATTTCTCTGTTCTGGATATTTCACGTACCTGGAATCATAGTGTGGTCTTTTGTTTCTGGTTTCTTTGACTTAGCATAATGTTTTAGAAGTTCATCCACGTTCTAGTATGTGTCAGTGCTTCATTCTTTTTGGCTGGCTAAATAATGCTCCATTTATGACTACCACATATTTATCCATTTGCCAGTTGATGGACATCTGGGAAGTTTCCACCTTTTGGCTACTGTGAATAATTCTGCTATAAACATTCAAATACAAATTTTTGTGTGCATCTGTATTTTCATTTCTTACCTAGGAGTGGAATTTCAAGTTTTATGGAAACTGTTTAATTATTTGAGGAACTGCTAGATTGTTTTGCAAAGTGGCTACACCATTTTACATTCCCATCAGCAGTATATGAGAGTTCCAGTTTCTCCACATCTTTGCTAACATGTGTTATGTGACTTTTGGATCCTAGCTATCCTGGTGAATATGGAATTGTATCACATTGTGGTTTTGATTTACATTTCTCTGATCGCTAATTATGTTGAGCATCTTTTCTTGTACTTATTGACCATTTGTGTATCTTCCTTGGAGAAATGTCTATTCAGATCCTTTGCCCATTTTTTAATGGGTTATCTGCCTTTTTATTATTGAGACGTGAGAGTTCTTTATATAGTCTGCACAAAAGTCCTTTATCAGATATGTGATTTGCATATATTTTCTCCTTTTATATGTTTTTTTCACTTTCTTGATGGTGACTTTTGAAGCATGAATGTTAATTTTGATGAAGTTTAATTCATCATGCTTTTGGTGTCACGTCTAAGAATTTTGTAATCCCAGGTTATGAGGACTTTTTTCCAATGTTTTCTTCTAAAAGTTTTATAATTTTATCTTTTACATTTATATCTGTGACCTATTTTATTTTTTGTAAGAGCTGTGAAATATAGGTTGTTTATTTTTTTGCATATGGATGTCTAGTTTCAAAATCATTTGTTGGAAAGGGTATTCATTCTCCATTAAATTGTTTTTGCACTTTTCTCAAAAATCAATTGCTATTTATATGGGTCTGTTTTTGGTCTCAGTATTCTGTTCCATTCATCTGTGTGTCTTTCCCTTCACCAATACCACACTGCCTTGACAATTGTAGCTTTAAAGCAAGTCTTAAAATTGGGTAGCGTGATACCTTCAACTTAATTCTTCAGAATTGTTTTGGCTGTATTTTCTTTGCTTTTCCGTGTGAAGTTTAGAATCAGCTAGTCTGTATAACAAAAAGTCCTGTTGGAGTTTCCACTGGAATAGCATGTCTTCTGATCCATGAACATGGGGCATCTTCATTTAGCACCTCTTTGATATAGATCATCAGCATTTATGGTTTTCAGCTTATAGAACCTGTACATCTGTTGTTAGATTTATTCCTAAGTGTTCATTTTCTGGAGCTGTTGTAAATGATTTTTTATTTGGTTGTTGGTATTTTTCAGTCCTTCTATGTCCTTGCTGATTTTCTAGTAGTTCTATACATTACTGAGTGGAGTGTTTAAGTCTCCAACTGTAATTGAAGGTTTGTTCATTTCTCCTTTCACTGCTGTTTTTACTTCTTGTATTTTTAAGGTCTGATGTTAGGTGCATACATATTTAAGATTGTCATGTCTTGGTGAATTGATTCTTTTATCATTTTTTAATATCCCTCTTTATTCCTGGTAATTTTGATACAATTTCACGAGTCCATTTAATCTATATTGGGAAGTAATGTGCAGAGAGGTTAAGAGAATAGCCTCCGAGTCAGAATTGCCTGGATTTGAATCACACATCCAAGTACAGGTGTATGACCTTGGGCTCATCACTTACCTGTTCCTTGGTTCTGGTTCATTTGTAAATTGGGATAATCTCATTCAATTTGTAGGATTAAGGGTTACATGAGATGATTCATCTAAAACATCTGACTATAGTACCTGACAGTAAAAACTATCATTGTTAACCACAAATGTTAGATCAGAAATGTCTAGTTTTTAGAAAGTATGTCACAGAATTAGAAATACATAGAAGGTTCAGGTCCCTTTTTAAAAACAGCACTTGTGAAAAGAGGGATTATTAAATATATCCAACCTGAGTCAAATACCAGGTTTTTTTTTGTGGTGCACAGGCTCTGGACGCGCAGGCTCAGTGGCCATGGCTCACAGGCCCAGCCGCTCTGCGGCATGTGGGATCTTCCTGGACTGGGGCACGAACCCGTGTCCCCTGCATCGGCAGGCGGACTCTCAACCACTGTGCCACCAGGGAAGCCCAGGAACCTTCTTTTATAAAAGTTTTTCTTTCACCAGTAATTCCATACAATGTCTACTTTGTATCTTGTTAGTTTAAACATGAACAGTTCAAAGTCATCTATTGTTTCAGTTCCAATAATAATAATTAACAAGTGATCTAAGCAGATTAACAACGACCTGCTGGAATACTGTTTAATTAGATAATAGGGTTGCACAGAACTTCAGGTGGGCTGAATCTGAGGGTGAATTTGTATTATGGATAGCCATAGTAGTGATGAATCTAAATAATAAAAGTGACCAATAGTGTATAAACACTGACTTTTTAATGCATATTAAGCATATTTAATTGTCATCATCTTGTGTCTATCTTTAAAAAACCATTAGAAAGGAAAGTGTCAATTAGGTAATAGCCATACTCTTATACGAAATTTTGTTTCTCCTACCATGCATCTTACTTTAGTGCTAAATTTAAATATAGTGAGTGAAGACAGCTTTTTATTGTGGTTCTATTATCACAGTGCCAAAATAGTTAATTAAATTAGAAGAGAAACAAATAGAAAACCACCCAGCAAAGGAATGCATTTCAGTAACTTTATTGAAAGGTATATCCCTTAGTACCAAAACATAATGGTAGTTGGTTAGGTTACCTCTGCCAACTCAAAATTAACACTGATGTATTCAAAATATTGAAATTTATCAGTCTTTTGGGAAAACTGGAAAGTTATCCGTAAAACATGTTTTACAAAAGTATAGGATACACTGTGGTTCTTTGGTTTATTTTCCAATGCATATCTCCCCATAACATGATGTCAAACTTGGGTACAGCCATCCTGGATGGATTCAGGCTACACATTACATTAACTGACACTTTAACACAGTAGATCTCCTTAGGTTCACTGAAATCCTGAACACTACCTCAGCAACCTTATAATTATGAAGATGCCTACTTACCTTTCTTAATACTTTCCTTTGGCACAGTAGGGGCACTTAATGAAAGTATATTCTCTCCCTTTTAAGCAAAACTCTAAATTAGAAGCAATGACAGTTTCATAAAAACAGTGCTTAGTAAAAACTTCTGGAGTGTTAAATCAGAAAGTTTTCAGAGTGACGTTAATTTGAGTTACTACTACAGTAAAAACTAATTTTCTTGATGGGACTAGACTGAGGCAGTAAATTTTGTATAAAACTTTTTAAATCATGGATATGAACATCACCTGTTTTCTAGAAAAATATTAAAGATAACTTAATATGCTGAAATTAATAGGTCTGTAGTTTTGCTTTATATAAAATGCCCTCAAATTTAAATGTGACTCCCATGTAGCAATAAAGTCCACATCTCTGGATTATATATTACTTGCATTATGGGTGCCAAGAAACCATTTTCAAAGCCTAGAATGCTGACCCTTATTATGCCTTAAAAGTGCATTTGTGAAGTGGTGGTTTTGATGTAAACCTCATATTTAAAGTTTAAATTTAAATTAAGTAGGTTACCGTTTTTAACACCACCTAAATACAATATATTGACCCAATACAGAAAGTTGGATCAGTGTTAGAAATGAAGATTCACAGTTTACCTTCCCAGGCTTGTCATTAGCATTTCACATTTATGCTGTTAGCTTTGATTTGTATGCTTCACAGGTGAATTCAAATGTGAGTAATTCCACTATAGGGTAATGTTTATTAGGCAGTTTTCCCAAATCTGAGAACACCAATGTTAATCTACTTGTGATGTTTTGAGGCTTCACAGCTTAAATCCGTTATAACATTATGGAATCCACAGCTCAGGATTGTGGAGAAAGGCTTCAGAAGAGTTACTTGTTGCTGTAAGAATCCTAATAAACAAAAAAATCAAGTTATCAGAAGTCTGCCAAACACAAATATTACTACCTGTTAAAATATCTGACTCATAATCACATCTTATGTAGATGTGTTCTATGTTAATATTTAGTGTTGAGTAGGAAGAAAGAAATCACCAACATGAATTAAACTTAGATGGCAAGAATGTATATCATATATTTGTGAGGAGGCTTACATTTTTTATGCATGTAAATACTTTGCAGTGTTCAACTACTATAGCAATGATACATATAAGTTGAGATGTATAATGATACACTATACAGTTGAGACATCCTGGCAGTTTCTAGACATTCAATGTAGAGACCACCTGCCACAACTTACTTTTTAAGTACAATACCCAAGTTCATACTGATTTTGCTAATAAGCTAACAGTCTCAAGTTAGTTCAATGTATGATTCAAAATTTTGGTCCTGCTCCCTCACTCAGGCTCGTGTAACTTTAAATGAGCCAAAGCCTAAGTCTACATACAGCAAAATGATGTGAAATTGAAAAAAAAAAATACTGTTTTAGTGCTACTTTTAAAGTTCAGGTTATTAAGGATGCTGCTTTTTAAGCTGAAAATTTAATGAAATGGCTAACATATATATGAAAGGTTAAGAGAATTCCTTACTCTTAGGGTGTTGTACCTTGAATGTAGTAAATGTCCTCAAATACTAGCTGACTAGATCAGAGAAGTCATTTTCCCCTCTGCTAGTCCAACTCCATTTTTTTAAAAAAAAATGCAGATTTAAATTCTTGAATTGCAGAAGAAAATTATAGCATTAGAAAAGTCTCTCTACATGGAGAAAAACTATGAACCAAATTTACCAATTAAGGGACCATTTCAGGAATTGTTGGAAGGTGGGTTATTCTGTAGTAACTATGCTTCAGTTGCCGTGCAGTACGCCCAGAAACAATCCATTTCAACTTCTGAACATTTGGTTTGGAACACTTGTTTGATGAATATTCAGTTAAACACTTGGATACGAGCTCTTGCCAGAAAGTCAAATCTCTGCCATTGATCTGTGAATAAATTAAAAAAATATATTCTTTAAAATAAAAGTCCTACAGTATTTAATTATAGTAATAATTGCAATCTTATTAACACGTGTGTTTCCTTGTCAAAAAAATTTGAGGATAAGCTACTTAAGTTTCAGATAAACACAGGACATCTCATTTTACTTTAGGAACAAGTGGTTTAGTTGCTTTTACAGCTGTCAACAGGATTTAGGCTATGACCTGGACATACCTTGGAATGTTTCTGAAGACATTCTACTCCTTCTGTTAACTCTACACACCTCTGTGCCTGGATCTCCAAGGCAATGATAGACAATGCCAACACAGATGGCTAAAAGAGATAAATTTTAAAGTAAATGTTGAATATAAAAGTAGGTATATAAATAGGTTTAATCTTTACAAAATATTTACCTTTGCTTTAGAAAATATGATCCTGCAGTAGCACGCCTTAAGTTGAGCTTCTAGTCTTTCAAAATTAAGGCTATTCCTCCTTTAAAAAGAAAATGAAATTAATTTTATATAGATAATTTTATATCAAGTCAAAAGAAATTTTTAGAAAAATAAGTCAATTTTAAAGTGAAGTTTATGCACACTTATCATAGAAAGTGAATTATCCGAAGTAAAGAATTTCCCTTCCTTCAGAAACATTAACTTCTTAAGGATACCATATATGAATTTTAACTGATCTGAGCCAAAAAAAAAAGTATCATGCTACAACTCCCAAGGTTTCTTTTCATTTTAATAAATCTATTTTTGAATCTGAAGTTCCTTTTTCCATACATCTGTGTTAGATGCTTACCTACTAGGTTCTATAAGTTAACTTGTCTATAAATGGAAAACGTAATTTTAAAAAAAGTTGAAATGTCCATCTTTAGAATTCACAGACTTCAAGAAGCTACTTTTGACTGAAAGTCTTCTCACTTCTGCTGGAGAGTGAAGTGAAACTCATTCTCACTTCTGCTGGAGAGTGAAGTGAAACTCAAGGAGCTTAGCTGTCACTTTACTTATTTTGATTGGAATTCTCCCAGGATATTGATTTTATTTAACATCCGGACAACTTCATTCTGATTTCCAAATCTGCTTTGTTAAAAACAAAGATCACATACCTTTCATATGGCAAGTTCTCTTGAAGGAGTGCATAATAGAGTTGTAGAAACTGAAAGGCAGTAGTAGCTTTGACTTTCCAACACACCTTCTCCAACACAATCTTTTCCATTCTCATCAAGTCTGAAACTGTGAACCTATACTGGCTTATTCGGATCAAGTCAGTTGCCAATGGGACATTCCTTTCCTCTTCTATTGATTTTACAGCCAAATAGAAGCAGCTCAGTCCAACACACCCAAGGTGCTTGGGCTGTACCTAAAAAGACAGTAAGTCCATGTCTTTACCTTATTTCAGTTAAAAAAACATAAAGGATAATCTAGAACTCAACCTATCACTTCGAAAATGTATCTTTGAGGTATATTTCTCAGCTGTGAAGGACTTAACAAGATCCACTGATACCTCAACTGTAGCCTCTTAACCATATGTACCCACTTGGAACCAATTTTTGAGCAAACAGACTAAGTTTCAGTGTAATGTGTGGCTTCAGCACATAACAATTCGTACTTCTTTTGGTTTGTTTAAATCAGTGCAGAACGATAAGCAATAAGCTACTAGGTCAAAGGCTTATATGAGGACTGAAATACCTTACAGCTTATGCACAAAATTTCTTTCCAGAATGTTGTGTTTTTCCAGGCTGTTTTCTTTGTAGTAACACATGTAAAATGTTTTTAAATACTACAGCACATACTGTTTACTCTGCCTGTAAAGCTCTATTCACTACCAGTATTTTAAATTTATTCATCATTTTCTGAATGTCTACAAAATTTGTCACAGTCAAAATTCTGTCCACTTTAAGTTCCGCTCAATGGAAACTTTATGAAGCCTTTACCAGTATTTGTGCTCTCCTCTTCTTAGAACCCCTTCAGCAATACATTTATGCCTCTTTTGAGGTATAATGTAATTATTTTTCTTATTATTCCTTGTACTATATAATAGTTATCAGTGCAAACATTATTGCCACTAAGATTATAATACACTTAAAGGACAGATGTATTTCATCCATGTAACATTTATAGTCAAAGGTAGTGCCTGCACATGGTGTCTAAAGAGTTGTTTAATTAGGGTATTGAAAAAGTTTCTTGAACCATTCAATACACATTGAGTTCCTCCCATATATGATGCATTCTGTTAGGTACTGAGGACTAAAAGATGAGCTGCATTTTAACTGTCACGTTGTTTCATTATCTACCAATGACCACTGGCACACAGAGAAGTCAGATGTATTTGTAACAATTAAGCTCTGAAAGTTACACAGATGTCCTGCTTATCCAATACAGGGAAATAACTATATATAAATGCTCCTTCAGAAGATACTCTCTATTATATGCAAACTTAGGCTGGAAATGACAAGCATAAGCACGACTTGGGTAAATTTAAGGCTAAAACAATTAGAACTTTATTCTATATGAATAGAGATCAAGCAATATACTCTATGACCAGATGGTTGACAGCATCAACAAAAAGGAAAAAAAAAAGAAATACAGTCTAATTCTTAACCCCCAATCTAGCATTCTGCCTCTAACACATTTCTTAAAATTTAGAAACAACAGTAAATAAATGAAAACACCCAACCTATCAAAAAAGACTTTTAAAAACAACAGCCAACTCTCCTACTGGGAGACTCTGCAATTAATTATTTGATATTAGACTACTTTTCAATGTCAGAAAGTAGGTTGAATAAATGATGCATCACTCTTAATTAAAAGGAAGGATTTCATCAGTGCTGTAGTACACAGAATTACCATAATGTTTTGGCTACTTGCTGAAAACAAAAAAAGTTATGAATACCAGCCCAAAGCTAGCAATACCACCTCCAAAACACATTGAACAAAACCACAAAATACTCAGGGTAATGTAGCTTTAGACGTACCTTCATTTTAGACAGGAATCTGTCCAGTAAATTCACAGCTAGAGAAAATGTCTCCGTGTCAAAGCCAAAGAACTGAGTTAGACTAAGGAGATCTTTTACTTCAAAGTCCCTCAGTCTTGCAGTCATTCTAAGGCCATTATCGTGTGCAGATTCAATTAGTCTCAAGCCGCAGACCTTTGGCTGACATCTCAACTCCTGTTCCAACAGGGCATTCAGCTGGTGTAGCAGTTTCTGAGAGTCAGTTGTTGTCAGTACCTCTATCATCTATATATAGAACAAAGCCCAGAAAGGAGTGAAAGAACAGCCCTTCCTGCCTTGTGTTGTGCCAGGTGCATTATAACACAAGTCTCCCCTCCCTCAATGCTATTAGTGAATCTAAGTCACTGCAAAATGCCATCTGTAATTCTCCACCTCCCCAACCAGTTGGTCACATCCTAAATTGTGAGTTCCTAGAGGGCAGTAGCCATGCCTTTTTAAAGAAAAAAAATGCAAATCTTCATGCCCAAACTTTGAAATTAGATGGTAGCATGTATTCTGCCATTTATTAACAATGTGAACTGTTCAAGTTAGTAAATTTTTCTTAGTCCTCAATTCCTAGTCCGTAAAGTGGGTATAAGGTTATTACCTATTTCAGAGACACTTGTGAGGAATGAATGAGATCATCTAGGTACACAGGTACTTAGCACGTACAGTAGGTGCCTAATAAACACTGGGCAATATTAATGAGCTTACTTCTAGTCTGTAAAATGAGGCATATCTGCCTCTTTGAATGGCTGTGAAGATTAACCAAGATGATTCAACTAAAGAGTTTAGCATAGTGCTTGGCATTCACTGCTCAGTAACTGTTAACTTTTATTGATGTTAGGAAAGGAAGCTTAAAGGCAGTTATGGGTGCACGCAGTGGGGGCGGGAGGCTAATCCAGCCTGCAAGAGGAAGCTGGGAGTTTCGTTAATTTAAGACAATACTGAACATCTACTATGTGCCTGCTCCGGGAACGGGCTAAGCCCTGGACACACGGACGGTCCCTCCTCGCAACAACCGAAAGACAAGGAGGCAGAAAGAATCCTTAGGGTTGCGCGACGGAAAGGGTGGGCAGATGGAGAACCGCAAACTTCAAGGGTCCAACTCTTTGGCCCCTGGGCTGGGACCGGGCCCATAAGACACTAAGACATCTCAGGAGGTCGCATCTGGCCCCGCCCCTCCATGCTCGTACTAGCCTGAACTTGTTGCTCGGGGAGAGTTAACCGAGGAAAAGGGCTCGAGACCTACCCCTCACCCCGCGCCCCACAACCCTGCTCCCTACCCGCACTCCGAGGTCAACCCCGAAATCCGAGCTCACCTTGATCGCGATTGCAGCTCCTCAGCGGTAACCACCCTCCCCGGGCCTGCTCTCACCTCACCCCAAGATATTAGAACCGAGAGGCCTATGAGGCGAGAGGGCTCGCGGGCAAGACGGGAGAGGCCCGGGGAGGGGAGCCGTCTTGGGTGGAGGTCTCTGCAGCGCCGCCGAGACGACACTGCCTCCTCGGGGTCTGCTCGGAGCCGAAGGGGTCGCGCCTGGCCTCCTGAGTAATATATTGGAGGGCGGGGTTTTCTCGCTGCGGTGGGAGGGGCACATGAGAGGCATTTTCGCCGCTGATTGGTGTAAGTCTTATGATAGATGGCTCCTGCTGTCCAAAGAGGGCTGGTCCGTAGAGGGAAGAAGTCCGGCCAATCAGCACACGCTTTTCACTATCCCGGAGTCAAATTCTCCGCCCCTTGAGACCACGCCCCCTACCTCTAACTGTCTCTCATTGGAGGATTTCCCCGAGTGTCTTCAATGAAGAGGAGGGGGAGCTGAACGCTGCGCGCACCAACCCAGGCCCGGTAAGGCCTCTGCTGGCGGGCGGATTGGCCAGAATATCGTTCCAGAATGTACTGGGAGTTTTCGTTCCGTTCGGTTTAGTAGAGTGCTTTTGCTCTCTCTAAAAATACAGTGTCTGATTCCACAAAAAAAAAGAAAGGCCTGATTTTTCACTGCGGTTGGAGAGGTGGTGGATATTCTACGGTGTGGTTTATTAAATTTCCAGAAGTTTCTCCGTGTGAGCTTTGGAAATCACTTGTTCCTTGCCTTGTTTTGCTTTTTTGTATAATTTATCAAAGGGTGGAGTTGGGCTACGTACATTCTTGGTCTCCTGCCAGTTTGCTGAATTTGATTTTTGAACAAATTAGAAAAGTTGGTAGTTCTTCATCGGCTTAAAATGAAAGGTGTGTGGTTGACTCAAGAGGAATAAGTAGACAAAAATAATTGTAGTGCTTATGAATCTGAGTTCACAGATCCGTGTGTGAAGCAATATTAGTCTTTTTACTTGCTGTCCATGAACTTAATCTCTGACTGTGAGCCTTTGCCTGGTAAGTGGAAAAATAGTTAGCTTGAAGCCTTCCTGGACTCACTCCTTCCCTCTTTCTTTCCCTATTGTCACAAATGGGAAGGGTCTACTTTAAAAGGGCCTGAGGATTGGTGAACAAGGAATTGGTTATCAGTTCTGGTGGACTGTACTTTGATGTCTCTGTTCTCATGGTCTCTTCCTTGTTAGTGGCTTACCTGGGCTTTGAAAAAATTAAAATCTGAAAGATTTGCTGGCATGTTTGCTGTTTGCCCTGCTGGGTGCTTCCCTGAGGCAATGACACAGAACCAAGCCCTGAAATGGAAGCAGAGTTGTGGAGAGAAAGGGGAAGGGAAAACCTGAGAGAAAAAGTTAATGCCCTAAAATATTACCTTAGCCACATCACTAGGTCAGTTTGTCAAACCTCTGTGTTTCAAATGGGGAAGAGGCCTTGGTCATCCTTGAAAAAGAACTCACGTAATGAATATAAATGGGCAATTAAAAACATTTAAAAAGTTCTTTTTACAATAATGTGTGAGTTTACAAATGTAAATGTTTCTCCTTTAGTAACAAAGGAACAAAATTAGTAACAAAATTAGGAATATAGGTATGTACACATGCACTCTTTCACTACTTGTTGAACACGTAATATGTGTCAGTGGAGGACAGAATATACTGGTTCCTGTCCTTGTGGATTGTGTAGTTTTGTGGACAATATAAACTGATTTATTTTCAAGTCACAGGCTACTAACTAGGTACATGACTTTTAACAAGTTTTTAATCACACTGAGTTTCCATTTTCTTTTATTAAAAAATAGGAAATAAAAGTACCTTATTCACAGGGTTATTGAGAGGATTAAATAATGCAAAGTACCTAAAGAGGTAGGCATTGTGCCCAGAGCACAGTAAGTACTTGATAAATGGTAGCCTTTATTATTAAATTACTAACATTTCTTTTGAAATGTCTTGCTTAATATACATTTAATTCTGTTTTATCTATTGTCAGAGTTAGTCTTCTAGAATGGGAGTATTGTTTACTTAACACTAATGAAAGTATCTAAATTGTGTCTATTAATTTCTTTTTTTTAAAAGATTTATTTATTTATTTATTTATGAGTGCGTTGGGTCTTATTTGCGGCTTGTGGGATCTTCGTTGGGGCATGCGGGATTTTTCGTTGTGGTGCATGGGCTCTTCGTTGTGGCGCCCGGGCTTCTCTCTAGTTGTGGTGTGTGGGTTTTCTCTCTCTAGTTGAGGCGTGCGATCTCAGTAGTTGTGGCATGCAGGCTTAGTTGCCCCATGGCATGTGGGATCTTAGTTCCCTGACCAGGAATTGAACCCATGTCACCTGCATAGGAAGGTGGATTCTTTACCACTGGACCACCAGGGAAGTCCCATGTGTATTAATTTCTATGCCTTTTTTATACTTAAAATTTTCACATGCAGCTTTAGGTAATATATCATTGTTTATGTAATAAAAATGTTTTCTCTTACGTTAGGATCTTATTACTTTTTATTAAAATCTGAAATTACCTGCATGAAAAAAATTGTTTCTATAGCACTGAAGAAACATTGATTCAATACAAATCAGATCAAATGGACATTTTTTACCTTTTCTCCTTCCCCTGACCTCCACTGTCATTTTTATTCCATAATATTAGAATACAGACTATCATTTAAATAATTTTAAAGTCCTAATTAGCAAAATGTGCAAATGTAAGACTCAATTATGTACTGTTGTAAAAGAAAAAAAAATGAGCCTTTTGTTAATTGTGATTTATTTTTAAAGACTTACAGATTTAGTAATGAGTCTATCAGGAATCTTTCAAAGGACTGACTACCAGGGTATTTTCTAGGCTCAGTGATATATTCAGCTGCCATCTTCACACCTTCTTCTTAATCAGCAGTTAAGTGCAGCAAGTACTGAAACTCAGAATAATGGCCTCAAGGCTGGGCAAGAATCCAAGGCAGTTAACAGGAGGATTTAATCATATTCTCTACACTGCAGATTATAGAAGTGCCTTGAGCAGCAAAAATTATAACAAGCAGGTATAACAGTGGTGGCTTGTCAAATGCTGCCCTGACCAGGGAAATTCCTCGTTGCTTCTGTTTCCATCCTAGAGACTGGAGGAGTCTTTGCACCTCACCCTGTGTTGAGGCTCCCAGACAAATGTCCAGAACTTTTGAATGTGGGCTTGTCCAACTGTGATGAGGGCTGAAAAAGTGAGGATCCAAAGATCTCAGCTCAGTCTCTTCCACTCTATTTCCTGATCCTTCCTGGAACTAATTATGGCCCCCTCCACCTCTCCAACTATTCTCTAGTGCATCTGCTCTGTCTTAGAAGAGAACTTGCTTGGCTTTGGCTTTTTGGAGTCTTCATTAGCCCCTGGGATAGCAGAGAAATTGCGTATAGTTTGGGTGGTGACGGGGAGGCAGGGAAAAGGATACATAGAAAACAGATTAGTAATGTCAGGTATATTTTGCCTTTCAGGGATTCTAGCTATCTCTGATAAAGTAACCCTTTCCAGTTAATTGAGGTGTTACTATATTCAGTGGAAAAATAAACTTTGTCAGGTAACCACTGCTATATAAAGGCACTGGAGAACATTAGACGCAGATCTCCCACTTGCTAGCATTTAGTCTAATGGCCATAGGCTCTGTTGAGTACAGGGCTCAAAGCCAAGATCAGCCAATAACGAAAAGAGTTTGCATTTGTTATGTATTTCCCAAGTGCCAGGCTGTGTGCTGAACTTAAACACACATGATCTTATTTAGTCCTCTAACAACTCTGATATTATTATTATGTTCAGAAATGAGGAATATATCGTATATCTCCTGTTTAGCAACTACTTTTTACTGTTTACTAAATATCCTTAACACATAGCTTGAATTTGGATTTTACAGCGTTTAAGAACAAGTTTTTATTTTGGAACCTTTTAAACTCATTACCCAACTTCAGTAATCATCAGCATTTTGCCCATGTTGCCTATTTACTTTCTGTTTGTCTCAACATTCAACAAATATGTATTGAGAGCTTTCTAGGTGCCAAACCATTGTGTTTTGTAGTCCCAGATTGAAAATGTTACAATTTTGGGCCATAGGGTGTGTTGGCTATTGTGTTTTGTGAAGATAGGTGTTGGAAGGATCAGCTGGGTCATTCTCCAGGTGCATATCTTTCTAGTCTGAAGCCCACACTGAAGGTGTCTTTGGGGTCTGCTGCTTTGATAGGAGAAGGAGGGAATGGGGAGGGATAATAGCTCCCTTCCTTATTTAGGTCTCTGCCTGTATTGCTAACCTTCCTCACAGAAGTGCATGCAGACACACCCAGACACACACACACACACACACCCCTTTACAAAAGATTTTGACAGAGTTGAATTTTGGGAAATGAAGTACTTTCTAATCTAGCTTTTTTGTCCCTTAGGGATCTCATAGGTCTGAACTTTTGTTCTCTAGGTCAGCCTTCCTTGCCTGAGGTCACCACTTTCCTCATTTCTTTAGCCTTTTAACTCTTTAACTCGTGATCTGAGTTTTGATGCAGCCAAGTGAAGAGGTTGGTGCAAAGGGCATTCCAGACAAAAGCAACAGTATGGCAAAGGCATGGAGGAAAGAGAGACTAAGTTGATTTCTGTAAATGAAATACAGATGACTCTGGCTAAAGCATGGAGGGTGTTGGAGGTAGGGGAGTCTAGCAGTGAGGTGGGGAAAGAAGCAGTTGCTTATCCTGAAGGACCAGGTATACCATATATACCATTATTGGAATTTTGGACTTTATAGGCTTTGGGGAACCAACCATGGAATTTAAAGGGACTGTCACAACTGGATTTGTGATTTAGAATGACCATTTGGCATCAGTGTGAAGAGAGGAAAGAGAGGGCCAAGAGTGGAGCCGGAAGAGCAGTTTAAGAGGCCACTGCCTTAACCTAGGAAAAAATGAGAAGATTGAACTGAGGGAGTGAGAGTGCGAATGGGAAGGAGATGGATTCAAGGGACCTTAGGAGGTTGAGCTGATGGATTGTGGTGATTGATTAGATTTGATTGGTTAGGTGATCAGGATGAAGGCAGAGTCAAGAATACTGTTCAAATTTCTGGTTCAGGCAAAAAGTTGAATGAAGAGTCTATTTATGTGCTAAGTTCAGGGAATACAGGAAAAAGTCCAGGTTTGTAGGGGAAGACGTTGACCTAGAGATGCCTGAGGGAACTCCAGGTGGAAATGTCCAAAGGCATCCAGAGAAACATTTGGTGCTACTGATAACTTTCGGACTCATCAGAATATGAGAGGTGATTGAGTCATGGAAGGAGATCAGTCAGGGACAATTGAAGGTGGTAAGAGAAGCCTGAGGAGAGAGTCTAGGGAACAGGAGTCTCTGAAGGGACCTAGAAGGAGAAGGCATGTTACTGGAGTCAAGAGAAAGTGTTTCAAGGAGGGAGTGAGCACCAGTGTCTCATGCTGCAAAGAGGATGAAATGAAGTATGAACAACAGAGAAAGAAAATGAAATCA